TGCTGGTAATTTGTCACGGGATGAATCTTAGTACTACGTTAAAAAATAAATAGTGTAAATTAACCCATATCTATCTAGAACATTGACTCAATAGATATATATTTTTTTCAGAGAAACATGTTATAAATATTCTGGTACCTATTCCAGAACACATAATTAATAACGTAAATAAATAAATAAACAAATAAAAGCAACAAATAACACCATAAATGATCATTTATTCCAGGATCTCGACTGTTTCCAAATTACTTCAAATGATGTCTTACCTGAAGTTGTTTTATTTTCACCTGTGAGGTGAGTACAATGAGGTTCATGTTATACTAATGGTTAAGCCTACGCCTACAAAGAGAACAGAATAAATAGGTCTCTCATAAAGGGAACCTGTGATTTCCCGGATTTATATCAATGTTCTATCTAGAACACTGACTTATAAATCTAGTTTCCAGAGAAGCATATGTTATAAATATTCTAGTATATATGTCTAGCGAACACACGATTAAGCAAAAGTAAAAGTAACCAACAAAATAAAAGATCATTTAAAAGATTGTTTATTCCAGGACCTTGAGTTCTCGAATTTCTTCAGATGATTTTGTACGTGAAGGTATCAAACTGAAGATCTCAAACAAGACTATTGTGTTATGTTGAATGTGACTAATCAAAAGCAAAAGTAAATACACTAGGGACTTCCATGACATTGTATCATAGATGGTTTTGTTGGTAATTTGTCACAAGATTAATTCTAATCCTAAACTAAAAATTGACAGTGTAAATTAATTAATATCAAAGGTTAATCCAGGATCTTGACAGTACCCAAATACCCCTGATGATCAAATGTTATGTAATGTAATGTAATAGATGTAATGTCTTCTGCATTAGTGTAAATATATAGTAACTTGTCATACCAAATACCGATTTGATTTAGTTTTTTTACTATTTACCTGTACTATCTACCATACAGTAACTTTTTTAGAGTATTATTTTTGTCGTTATTTTTCTTTAACATTAAAGAAATTCTTCTTTATCAAGGCTTTTTGCACTACTTCTTATCACCTGATTTATTGTTCTGTTTTTAACCACAGGAGGAGCACAATGGACTTCTGAATAGCATTTTGAAGTGCACTTTGATCTATAATCCACAACTCAGGATATGGCGTCAACAAATCTATTGTTATCAAGATTGCATGATTTGGTCAGATATGGACAGTGGAGTCAGAACGATGCTGTGGATTTGTTTACTGCCCTTGCGAAGCAATACAGTGTCAGGGCAGTAAAGACTGATTTCTACACATGGATGGCAAAAATACTTTACAAAGTGGAAATTCACAAGATCAACAAGCCAGATTTATTATCTGGCATTGAACCAAGCCAGTTTGTGGATAACATTGAAGATAGAATTAATGACTTTGTTAAAGAAACAAAAGAGAAGAGCCTTGAAAATATCACTGAGGAAATTGAAGCAGAGCGAGACATTGATCGGAATACTTTAAAAGATGTTAAAGAAATTGTGTTGTCTGTGTCCTCGTCACCATCACGCCCTGTTTCAAAACACCTGCAAGATAAAAAGGAGAAATTAGTGAAGCTGTGTAAAGCAGTAGAAGATACCAAAGAATGGAAACCAAGGTTGACTCAGATGGTGAGCTGGTGCATCATGGCTCTTTCTGGTTCTAGCCAGTTAATCCAGGTTGGCACAGGCGAAGGAAAGTCATGCATAGTGGCCATGTTTGCTGCATATCGTGCCATGATGGGAGACAGTGTGGACATTATCTCCAGTTCCCCTGTGCTTGCAGAGCGAGATGCTAAGGAGTGGCATTCATTTTATGAAAAACTGGGAATCACTGTGGATTACAATGTAAATAAAACAGAAATTGAAGACCTGAGGAGGTGTTACGCATGTCAAGTGGTCTATGGCACAACTGAGAGTTTTGCAGGAGACTGGTTAAGACACAGGTTCCAAAGACAAAATGTGAGACCTGGAAGACAGTTTCAGTGTGTCATAGTAGATGAGGTGGACTCACTCATGTTGGACAAAGGTCTAGAAGTTGTCTACTTAAACAGTGAGATGCCTGTCATGGAGCCTCTAAACTTAATCTTAGCTAAGATTTGGTTTGTTGTCAACGACGTTGAAGATCTGGATGTAGAGAAGACACTAGATATCATTCGTTCCTCACTATTGGCAGAGGATTCAGACATACTGCCATCACATAAATATCTAAAGATCCCTGCAGATACATCAGAGCTGAAGCACAATGAATTCCACATTCCAGGCTTTCTAGAACACATAAATGGGAGGCTCAAAATATGGATTGAAAATGCATTTCTTGCCAAAACAATGACTTTAGGGCATGAATACATTCTGCACAATGATGGTGTAGTTCCTGTAGATTACAGCTCTACAGGAGTCGTGCAAAATGACATGAAATGGGGAGATGGACTTCAGCAATTCCTTGAAATGAAGCACCAAACCAGACTGTCAAATATGTGCGTGATAACAAATTTCAAGTCCAATGTAAATTTATTCAAGAGTTACAAACGGATTTATGGGCTCACAGGAACTTTGGGGAACCAAACTGAACTTGACTTGCTGCAGAAACTGTACCCCGACATTAAAACTTGCAAAATCCCACCATTCAAACGCAGGAAACTTTACGAGAAGGACGGCATTGTAATTAATGATGAAAATGAGTGGGCACAAACAATTTGTATGGTTGTTAACAAGACAGTGAACCCCACAGTCTACCGAGGTCCAAGAGCAGTCTTGGTCATCTGCGAAACTATTAAACGAGCACAAACTGTCCACAGTGCCCTCTCAGAAACCATTTCAACAGACAAATTGAAGCTGTACACAAATAACAATATGGACAATTCTAAGGTTACAGGTAAAGTGGTCACTGAAGGTTGTGTCATTGTTGCAACCAATCTGGCTGGTCGTGGGACAGACTTCAAAGTCTGTACTGAAGTAAATCTTTCAGGGGGTTTGTTTGTGGTGCAGACTTTCTTGCCCCTTAATATCCGTGTGGAGCAACAAGCCTTTGGTCGTACTGCACGAGAAGGAAACCCTGGTTCCGCCCAGCTCATCATGTGCTCCACTCACTTCTCTGAGTCAGTCAAACTGATGAGGGCACTAAACTCACCTCTCTCCATGTTACTTACCCTTCTGAGGCATCTAAAAGCCACTGTAGCTGTGTCAGGATTTATAGGGAATAAGTTTGAAGAGACTGTCAAAATTTGTCAGGAAGACCCCAATGAAAAGAACTGTGAGGCAATGGTGACAGAACTCAGGGACTTGCTAAACATTGAAAAGCCAAGTGGTTTAACTAACCTGGAAATGGAAAAACAGTCTAGAGATTTAATTGTGCAAACAAGACTATCACATTTTCTTAAAGATGACATACCAAAAATCACCAAAAAGGAGGAACTTTTTTCTGACTACCTTGACATGCTGGATGCCATTTACAAACACTCTTGGCACTTGGCATTTACAAACACTCTTGAAGATATTGTGTCTTCACTTCATGAATGCTGGGGTATGTGGCTTCTGATGAAGTTCAATGAGAATGAATCGACAGAAACATTAAGAAAGCAGTTACAGAAAGACTTGCAAAGTGCAAAGAAAAAATTGGATTGTAAACAGTCCCCTTCCTCTATGATCTACCATTATGTAAGGACTGGCAACACACTCCGTCACAAAGGATCCCTTGCAGGCAGCATCGAGATGTACACAAGAGCCATTGAAAACAGTCCTTGTTGGCCTGCCATTGCTTTGTACAATCGTGCATTGTCCATTCTGTCTAGAGCAAATAGTGGACATATTGCTCAGGCATTGGCAGATCTGAAGAAGGCTGAAGAGGCAGTAGACTCCTACATGAGAAAGTCGACATTGACTTTGATTTTTGTGGAAAGCTCCAGCAAAGCTCCCAACATGACATCCGACACCTTGCTTACCAAGCAATTTAAAGCCAAGCACCTGGCACAGCATTTACTCAAATCAAATATCCAGAAAGCAATAGCAGTGTTGCAGATAGCTGAAAGTCGAGGTTATGATGTGCGAATAACAAAATACCCTATGTTATTGCTACTGAACCCTGTTGTTTTTGGAGCAGATGGATTTATCGAGGTGTGCCAAGAGATAATTAATCTCCACTCACTGGGACTGGATACCCTTTTCTCACTAGAAACTGTGTTTTCTTTTTTTAAATGTCTGAGTAAGATATTCAGTTAAAGCCTCGGCTAAACTGTTTGAGAAACAGAACAGCAAAGAAACATTTTCAGCATATATCTTTTCGGCATCCGGTAGGGAAGGAATGGTGTATACTGAAGTGCTGAATTAAGTGCTATCATGAAGTATAACCTCTTGAATATACCAACACATTAACTAAATATATTTTTATAATCATATTGCAATTATATCAAATCAGACATTTGTCAGACATTTTTTTATTACTGTTATTGCAAGGCTTCATGGACTTACCATTTACAGATTACCTTTTGGACAGTATGAATAACACTCCTGAGTACCTGCACTATAGTCTAACCCTTGTGTGTCTCTCTCTGTGGATCTCTTGCATTTGTACCTTTTGGCAGCATTTAGTTTACAGTCAGCTCTTTTAACACTTCTGTGCTTGTGTTTTGTCTCAACTGTAAGTGTCTCAAATAAGTGGATGTCAGTGGAACTTTGGAGGTTTTGTCCTGCAATGAATTCCAACCATTTTCATCATGATCACTGGGTAAAGATTCCTCCGGTAGGATTGCAACACTGACCATTATATACAACAAAGTTCAATGAAGAAGTCCTGAAAACTGTATTTTATCTTTCTTTTACACATTTTGTGTTATTTCTCATTGTATTTGAAACTCAACCAACTTTGCTCTTTGTCTATTTATAATAAACTGTATTATAAAGAAAACCTGTCCTTGCCATCATACACTTTTTTTTCCAGAGACAACCTGCACATATATATTATGCACCTTTGCATGACATATTGTGTAAATCAATTATTATTGATTATGTATACGCTCAGTGGTTAAGACGTTGGACTACTGATCGGAAGGTCATGAGTTCAATCCCCAGCACCGCCACTGCTGGGCCCTTGAGCAAGGCCCTTAACCCTCAACTGCTCAGTTGTATAAATGAGATAAATGTAAGTTGCTCTGGATAAGGGCGTCTGCCAAACGCCATAAATGTATAATCAACATCTATATGTCCTATATAGGACTTTTAACCACACAAAGGTTAATGGGAATTTACTCGATCAGCTTTGCACATCTGGATCCTGATATTTTTGCCAAGTCTTTTGCCAAAACTGCTCAAGCTCTGTTAGATTTTCAATGGAAGACTGACGGTGAATAGCAACTTTCAAGTCTCGACACAGATTCGAAATCATATAGAGATCTGGGTTTTGCGTGGGCCATTCGAACACATTCAGGTTCATGGTTTTGAACCACTCCAGGGTAGCTCAGTGGACTCCTCATTGGAAGGTTGAGAGTTCAAATCTCAGCACCGCCAAACTGCCACTGCTGGGCCCTTGAGCAAGGCCCTTTACCCTCAACTGCTCAGTTGTATAAATGAGATAATCGTAAGTCGCCCTGGATAAGGGTGTCTGCCAAATGCCGTAAACGTAACCATGGCAGTATGTTGTTGGAAGGTGAACCTCTGCCCCAGTCTCAAGTCTTTTTTTCTTTTTCTTTTTTTTTCTAGAATTGCCTTGTATCTAACTCCACCCATCTTGCCCTCAACCTTGACCAGATTCTCAGTCCCTGCTGATGAAAAGCATCCCCACAGCCTGATGCTACCACCCTCATGCATCACAGTGGAGATGGTTTTCACAGGATGATGGGCAGTGTTGGATTTCTGCTGAACATAGCATAGGTGGATTTTGGCCTCATCAGACCAGATCTTTTCCCAAGTTCTTTGTTGAGTTTTGCTGAGTCTCCAACATGTTTTTTTTAAGCAAATTCCTATGGCTTACATCTCTTTTCATCACTCTTCCATAAAAATGAGTGACTGAACCCTGATTGCTAATTTTCAGGAACTTTGTCCCAGACTTGTTTTGAGAGCGCCTTGGTCTTCGTGATGCTGTTTGTTTAGATCTGTTCTCTAACAAACTATGGGGCCTTCCATGAATAGATGTATATAGATTGAGATATGACATTTTGCAATATTTACATCGAGATGTGACACTTTAATACTTTTTATTCGTAAATAATTTTGCAATCTATATTGATCCATCCAATTGTTCAATTTGAGGCGTAGTAACACACATAAACGGTGCTTGATCAAATAAAATATTTTCGTAGTCAAGAGTGTCCAAACCATTTATTTGTGTTCTGAATTAGATCATTTTGTAATTAAAGTGTATCATTATTGTTTTTCAATTAATATTGATCAAATTTGAAGGCTGATGAAAAAAAAAAACATGATTACATTTCACAATATATTGCTTTTTATCTAGAAAATTCAGATACAGTGATAATTATTAAAAAATTAAAGCTCTTTTATATTTAAAAATATCTTTTTCATGGCATATTAACATTACAAAGGACCAAAAAGAAAGGAAACTGAGGTGATATTCATCAAGTCAACAAATCCACCTTACACAACTACACTTTGAACAATAAGTCAAAGCAAGCCGGCATGGTTTACTTCCTTTTTATTAATACCTTTTTTTTTTTTCGGTTGTTCATAGCATTACACAGAATTAGCCACACAAGAAACTTGGATTGTATTTTGTTATACATTTTTTTTTTTTTGTTAATAATGTTAATTCCCCCCTTTTTTTACATTCTAATGCTAAAAAAGCTTACACAAGAACTAGTACACTGATGTCTAACCTGTGAGAACAGTGAGACAGTAACCTAGTACAACACGAAACACAGGGAGGATTGAACATTAAAAAGGGTATGATCGAAGAAATAAAGTAAAATAAAAACAAAATAAAGTGGAAGAGCAATCACACGGCTCTGGCTTCCGATCACACTGACGCTTCCGATTTGTTTTTTTTCCCCCTTTTTAAACCCCCCAGAGTAAACTATATCAGATATTTCCCTTTACTCTTTTTGGTAAAGCCTTTATCCAGCAATGCAAAGCATTTGTTCTGTGTCAAACACCTGTACCTATATTCCTCCATTAGCAACAGACTGAACGATCGCATGTGCCATTTCTATACATTTCAGCAACTAATGTTCTTCTGCTCCAACTTTCGACGCTAATCTCAACACAAGCTTAACACTAACCCCATCCTTGTGTTTCAATACTGTTTTTGACGATCCCTCACAACTCAGAAGTGACACCACCGCTGACCACTTGCAGCACAAGGGGAAGAGGGAGGAGCAGGTGCTTTATTTACTTTTATATAAAGTCCAGTCTGAAAGCAACAATTCAAAACATGTGTTTCTGAGTCTGCAGTTACGCTGACTCAGTCACTTGGACCTCCATATAACAAACTTCACTCTAGGTAATTGTACTATTTGAAGTGTGCTTAGAGATCCTGGTGCTAATTTGGGGGTGTATTTTTCTTATTCCTATGAGAAGATTGTGATTGTGTGCCATGCTGATGTCACGGCGTGGGGGGTGGGGGGTGGATTTGGGTTGGGGCAACTGCGTTCAAAATGACAACAGATTTAACACCAACAGGTCAGGGTTGTTGTTTTGTTTGCCTTTAAGTTTCTGAATTACCATTAAGCTATGGTTAGAGAGTCGGACTTGTAACCTGAAGGTGAACCTGAAGGTCGTGGGTTCGAGTCTCAGGTCCGGCAGGGATTGTAGGTGGGGGAGTGAATGACCAGCGCTCTCCTCCACCCTCAATACCACGACTGAGGTGAGGCCCTTGAGCAAGGCACCGAACCCCCAACTGCTCCCCGGGCGTCGCAGCAAAAAAGACTGCCCACTGCTCCGGGTGTGTGTTCACTACTGTGTGTGTGCACTTGGATGGGCCAAATTCCCTTCACCACACGTCACTTGACTTCACTATTAAAAAGAAGGCAAATGCGGAGGAACTACTGTAGTTGCCAAAGATGTGCTAAAAACAGTATTGGAACCGAGGCCATAAGTTTAAGTGTGATTTGGCTGCACATGACAAGTACACAAATGTAGCCTATCAAATACACGTAGCAAACTCTTGACGGGATTCTGTGTCATGTCAACAGAGAATTATCTAATGATTTGGTGATTCAGGGCAGTGCTGTGCTGATTATCATGGCTTCTACAACACAGAGTGTTGCAAATGAAACAAAAAAAAAAAAAAGAAAAGAAAAAAAAAGCGCTGGTCTGATTTGTATTGGCTCGTGGTTTGGCTCTCTTGATAAAGATATGGCTATTTTTTTTGTTGTTATAATGGGTTAAATTTAGCTAGGCACTTCCTCTGACTCTTTAGAGGCTTTTAGGTAAGAGCTAGTTAACTAATGTGCTGGCAGCGAATGCCGTTGTTAACAAGCAACTTCAGATTTCAGACTGATTCCTTTGCTGGATCAGGAATTGTGTCTAATTGAGCACGCAAAGACGTCATACGACCGATGCTTATACTTGACTGAGGATTAGCTTGAAAAGCTTAGTGGTTGAAGTAGTTCAAATTCAGCTTATCGTCGTCTGATGTTCTGTATTAGTAGTAACAGTCTGGTGGCAGTGGATTTGCTGGCGGATCATCATTATCAAAATCCTCATTGTTTTGTTAGAGGGGGCTATTATTAATTCATGAAATGAATAACTTAGCTATGCTAGAGAGCCAGCCAAACAGAAAGAAGAAGGGGTGCAAAAAAAAAAAAGCCTATATCAAATGTTTTCTAACATTTTATCTGAGAAACTGTACCTTTGTCCCAAATGCTAGAATGTATGTCTACATTCCCTATAGTGCCCTAACTATAACTATAACTATAACGTCAAACATTTTAAGACCAATAATTCTATCCAAATTTCAGGATAGTCATTATTTTCCAATGTTCACCATCGGCCCTTATTCATCAAAGCTACATACAGTGAAATATGACTGTAAAATAAGCACGCAAAAATGACAACACTACTTTCCTTATTTGTCGGTTTCACCTTTGGCGTATTAGTATGAAACACGTCTGGACAGAGCGCGTGAAAGATTAGCGTAAAATTTGTACGACCTGAAAGATTGCTTGATTTGCAGTTAAATAAGGAAAACCAATGTTAGTATCATCAATACTATAAGGAAATATAGTAAGGAGAGCAGTATAAAACATAGCAAATGGCGCTGATGATCACAATCGTGCGGGCGGAAACCTCGTACTAAAAAAACACAGCTAGCGGGGCTTAGTGTCAAGCTGTAATCTGTAAAAGTAAATCAAAGGGACAGGCGTTGATCTTTATCGGCTGATTAATCCTTCATTTGAGTAACGGTAATGCATTTGTGTACGAGAGGCATCATAAAACACGTGTAGTCTTGGAAACACAGGCCTAATTCAAAGACCCTTAGATACTGCTTTTCTGAAGTAATTAGATTCATTTCATATCAACACAAAAAATTTCAAATCCAAAATTTCAACACTTAAAAAAAAATGTATCAGACATGGATTATTAATTTCAGTAGTCTGATTTTCACTGCTTCATTTCTGTCTAGGTTTTGGTTATATGAACTAAGGGTTTGATTTGTTTGAGAAGCATGGCTCACTATATATTTATACATACAGCTTTAGGTTAAAAAAAAAAAAAAAACCTATTAAAACTATTTAAATTCTAAAATGAACTCTAAGCTATAAACAATTTCTACCTGATTGTGACCTTAAACAGCTTATTATTAAAGAGGGTATATTGGGAAATGTCATAGGGACATGTGCATAAGTTAGGGATTAGTTAGTAGGAATACAAGGGCATGTAAATGAGGGATTAGTTAGCAGGAACTTGCATCCACGCAGATGAAGCGGATTCATCCGTTGCGTTCATGTCGCCACTCATAAGACAGTTTCATGAATCAGATGCAGATTTTATTCCTATGTCATTCCATGCATCTCCAGATCTGTGCTTGATTTCATGCAACTTTGCTGAATAAGGGCCATTGTGCTTTCTCTGGAACTGGAAGTGCACTGGGGCATATGCATATTTTTCTTTTTTTTTTTTTTTT